CCTTCAGCTGGGTATATCTTTCTCTTTCACCCTTGCCTTTCACTTCTCCTTTTCTCAGTTATTTGTAAAGTCTCCTCAGACAACCATATCGTCTTCTTGCATTCCTTTTTCTTTGGGATGATTTTGGTCACTGTCTCATGTACAATGTTATGAACCTCCATCCATACTTCTTCAGGCACTCTGTCTACCAGAGGTAATCCCTTGAATCTATTTGCCACTTTCACTATATAATCATAAGGGATTTGATTTAGGTCATACCTGAATGGTCTAGTGGTTTGCCCTACTTTCTTCAATTTAAGTCTAAATTTGACAATAAAGAGCTCATGATCTGAGCCACAGTCATTTCTAGGTCTTTTTTTGGTGACTGTATAGAGCTTTCCCATCTTTGGCTGCAAATAATATAATCAATCTGATTTTGATATTGACTGTCTGGTGATGTCCATGTGTAGAGTGTAGAGTTGTCCTTTTTATTGTTGGAAGAGGGTGTTTGCTATGACCAGTGTGTTTTCTTGACAAAACTCTATTATTTTTTTTTTCTAAACTCTATTAACATTTTTTTTTGCTTCATTTTGTACTCAATGCCAAACTTGCCTGTTACTCCAGGTATCTCTTGACTTCCTACTTTTGCATTCCAACCCCCTATAGTTCTAGAAGGTTTTCTAAGTCTTCATAGAACTGGTCAACCTCAGCTTCTTTGGCATCAGTGGTTGGAGAATAGACTTGGATTACCATGATGCTGAATGGTTTGCCTTGGAAATGAACTGAGATCATTCTGTCATTTTTGAGACTACACCTAAGTCTTGCATTTCAGACTCTTTGGTTGACTTTGAGGGTTACTCCATTTCTTCTAAGGGATTCTTTTCCATAGTCATGGATATAATGCTTATATTAATTATATTCACCCATTCTTGTCCATTTTAGTTCATTGATTCCTAAGATGTTGATGTTCACTCTTGTCATCTCCTGCTTGACCACATCAAATTTACCTTGGTTCATAGAACTAACATTTCAGGTTCCTATGCAATATTGTTAATAGCATTAGACTTTACTTTCACCACTGGATACATCCACAACTGAGCACTTTTTCCACTTTTTCCCAGCCTCTTCCTTCTCTCTGGAGCTATTATTAATTGTCCTGCCTTCTTCCCCAGTAGCAAACTTCTAACCTGTGGGGCTCATCTTCTGGTGTCACATCCTTTTGCCTTTTCATACTGGTCATGGGGTTCTTCAGCAAGAATACTGAAGTGGTTTGTCATTCCCTCTTCCAGTGGAGCACATTTTGTCGGAACTTTTCACTATGACCCGTCTTTCTTGGGTGGCCCTGCATGGCATGGCTTCATTAAGTTATGCAAGCCCCTTCACCATGACAAAGCTGTGATTCATGAAGGGGTTACATGTGGACTGAGGGCTATTATGGTAGGAAAAGCCTATTGGAAGCCACTAGAACTGCCTCTATCAAGCACAATATTAATAATAAACCAAAAGGAATGACTCATTCCCTCAAGATTACAATGATTAGTACCACCATCAAGAACTTGACGGATGAAGGGTTGTAATTTTCACCCCATTCTCATTCTACTTGCCTATTTGACTTGTGAAGAAAACATGTATTTGAGGGACATACAGTGAATTATCATTAATATAACCTGGTGGTAACCCCAATTGTAGATGCTGTTCCAGATGATCCATTAAATAGCTTAAGCAAATTAATAATCCCCTAGTTTCTGGTATACAGTATATTGATTTTGCAAATGCTTTTCCCTCCATACGTATTAGGATAGATCACTAGAAACAGTTTGTCTTCAACTGGTAAGGTCAATAATACATTATAATTGTCTTGCCTTGGGTATATATCAACTCTCTAGCTCTATGTCATAATTTAGATTGCATGGGTCTTGATTGTCTTCTCCTTCATCAAGACATCATATTGATCCATTACACTGGTGACATTATGTTAAATGAAACTAGTGAGCAAGAAGTAGCAACTACCGTGGACTTATTTGTCCCATTAGTAAGACACTTTCATGTCAGAGGGTGGGTAATAAATTCTACAAAAATTCAGTGGCTCCTCATCTCAGTTAATTAAAGTTCTAGTTGTTCAGTTGAACCTGTCAAGATATCCCTTCTAAGAAGAAGGATGAGTTGTTTCATCTGGCCCCTCTTATAACCAAAAAAGAGGCACAATGCTTAGTGTGCTTCTTGAGGCAACATAGTTCTCATTTGGGCAAGCGACTTTGGTCCATTGATTGAGCAACCCAAATAGCTTAGTTTTGAGTGGGACTCAGACAAACACAATTACACTCATCTCCCATGCTAGTAAAGTGAAAATGAAAGTTGCTCAGTCGTGTCCAACTCTGCTACCTCATGACTGTACAATCCACGGAATTCTCCAGGCCAGAATTCTCCAGGCTACCACTGGAGTGGGTAGCCTTTCCTTGTCCAGGAGCTTCTCCCAGGGGTTGAACTCAGGTCTCCTGCGATGCAGGCAGATTCTTTACCAGCTGAGCCCCACCATGCTAGTAAGGTCATGCTTAAAATCTTGCATGCTAAGCTTCAGCTTTATGCGAACCAAGAACTTCCATTGTCCAAGCTGAGTTTAGGAAAGGAAGAGGAGCCAGAGACCAAATTGTCAATATTTGCTGGATCATAGAGAAAGCTAGGGAATTCCAGAAACGCATCTACTTCTGTTTCATTGAGTATACCAAAGCCTTTGACTGTGTGGATCATAATAAACTGTGGACAGCTCTTAAAGAGATGGGAATACCCGACCATCTTACCTGTCTCCTGAGAAACCTGTATGCAGGTCAAGAAACAACAGTTAGAACCCTGTATGGAACAACTCATTGGTTCAAGATTGAGAAAGAAGTACGACAGAACTGTCTGCTGTCACCCTGCTTGTTTAATCTGTATGCTGAGCACATCATGAGAAATGCTGGGCTGGGTGAGTTACAAGTTGGAATCAAGGTGGGGGGGGGGAAACATAAACAACCTTAGATATGCAGGAAGGGAAAAGGAACTAAAGAGACTCTTGATGAGGGTGAAGGAGGAGAGTGGAAGAGTCAGCTTAAAACTGAATACTAAAAAAACTAAGATCATGGCATCCCGCCCCATGACTTCACAGCAAATGGATGGAGAAAATGTGGTAGTGACAGCTTTCCTCTTGGGCTCTAAAATCACTGCAGATGATGACTGTGGCCATGAAATCAGAAGACATTTGCTTCTTAGTAGGAAAGCTAGACAGTGTTGAAAAGCAGAGACATTACTCTGCCAACAAAAGTCCATATAATCAAGGCTATGGTCTTCCCAGTGGTCATGTATGGTTGTTGAGAGCTGGACCATAAAGAAGGCAGAGTGCCAAAGAATTGATGCCTTCAAATTGTGGTGCTGGGGAAGATTCCTCAGAGTCCCTTGGACAGCAAGGAGATCAAAGCAGTCCATCTTAAGGGACATCAACCCTGAATACTCAGAAGGACTGATGTTGAAGCTGAAACTCCAGTGTTTTGGTCATTTGATGTGTGAAAAGCTGACTCATTGGAAAAGTCCCTGATGCTGGGAAAGATTGATGGCAGAAGAAGAGGGCATCAGAGGATGAGATGGCTGGATGGCATCACTGATGCAAGGGACATGAACTTGGGCAAACTTTTGGAGATGGTGAGGGACAGAGAGGCCTGGTGTTCTGCAGTCCATGGGTCACAGAGAGTCAGACATGACTGGGCAACTGAACAACAAGAGAACAAGATTCCCTAATAAGTCCAGGATGCCAATGTTGCCATGTAAGTTGCTCCGCCACTTGGGCTAGGTAATCCAGTAGATCTAATTGTGTTTAAAGTATAAGTAGCAAAGAAAGATGCTATTTGGAACCATTGAGACTGACAGGCAAATCATAATGCAGACCCTTGGCTTTTGGAGCAAAGTCATGGTATCCTCTGTGGATAACTACTTTCTTTTGAGAAACAGCTTTTATATTGCTACTGGGTCTTAGTAGAGAATGAATGTTTAAATATGAGCTACAGATGGTTTTGCATGATATGCAGGCGCCAAGTGAAATGGACAGCTGCAGCACTAAAGTCTGTTTCTGGGACACTCTTAGGACAGGGATAAAGGATAATTCTCCCTATGAGCAGAATGTTGAGCATCTTGTTCATTTTGCTTAGAAGGAAAAATGGCCAGATGTATAAGTATACACTGATCCATGGACTGTGGCCATGGTTTGGCTCAATGATCAGAGATCTGGAACATAACTGGAAAATTGCCAACATAGAGGTCTGGAGAAGAGGTATGTGGATAGAGCTCTCTGAATGGGCAAAAAGCATTGGTATATCTGAGTCCTAGGCGAATGCTCACCTAAGGGTGACCTCGGTAAATCAAGTGAATAGGATGAAGTGTGCTGTGGATACCAGATTCTTTACCCAGCCACTCCTATCATCAAGGGGCTTGTGAACAAAGTGGCCATTGCGGCAGGGATGGAGGTTATGCATGGGCTCAGCAACGTGAGAATGTGTGCTCCATGACGGAGGGACTGTGGCTGTTCGCTATACTCCCGTGCCCCCAGAGCCCATACAGTGTTGTCACATAAAAGTGGGAACTTAATACTTGAATATATATAAACTACAAAAGTTTCAAAATATAGTACTAAGGAACAAGGCCATGGAGCAACTCTTGGCAATAGTTTATTATTTAGAAATAGAGATGATCATGGACATTTGTGAAATTCTGTGCTTAACGTGAGTCAGTGAGTGAGTGACAGTCGCTGAGTCATGTCCGACTCAGCTTTCTTTACTTCCTTCGCAATTTAACTATTTTAAGGAACTATTCAAATATCTGGACTATAGGAAATACTTGTAGTAAGTTTGTACTTCAGATTTTTGTGACGATCAAATTTGTTTCCAGCTCTACTTCAAGTCCATTGTTTCCTCTGAAAAAAAAATCCTGTTAGATGATAGATGTGGTTTAGAAACATCAAATATACTAAAATACAATTTAGACATCTACAGGAGGTATTCTGCTTTTGCAGACTTGAAACTTTATTAAATAAAAAGCCATCATACTTTCACTCAATTTAGCATCTACATGTTTCCTTAGTCTTTAGTTGCTTCAGGAGTTTGTAGACAGCACTGAGTTAGCCTGCTGTTGTAAAGTAAGATGAAGGAAAGCCTGACTGAATGTGGTAAACTGTATTTTCCAAAAATGGCTGTGGACAAAGACTATTAAAGGTTTTGTGGGATATAAGGTTCCAGTTGTCCTCCATCTCTCATTTCCTTCACAATAGATTACAGCTAAATTAAATATTTCTGCAGCCTATTCTTTGTATTTCTTTGACTGGGAACATGAGACTTTTTAAACATGTATGTGTGCTTCTTTAGCATGCAGGAAATGTACATGTATTTTTACAATTTTTTTCCTAATAAAAATACATAGTTTCTTCACAACAGCTTAAAGAAAATAATTATCCCTAATTCATCCAGAAGCTGGCATATTTCCTTCCCATCTTTTTTTTTTATCCTTCCCATCTTTTAAGTATACAAAAATACTGTTTCATTTGTAGTCACTGTGTAGCCACATGATTAGCCTCTTTTGTTCCTCTCTGAGGTTCTTTAATTCAGAGATTAGGTAGCTTAAGCCCAAGTGTGCCCTAGTGATCTCTCATTAGTCTTCTGAGGCCAGAGGACTATTCTTGTAGCTCAGCCTCATTTCTTATGAATCTTGAACACATTTCTCCAGTTATTAACAAGCACCTGAAAATCTGTTAATCACAACCATTAAATTTACTTTTGGAAACACTAGGTAACCCAGTTGACGTAAAATATGCATGTTTAAAACTAGAATATTTAGAAAGTCACCCAGTGTCTAGTCCTAATGCAACACTGGCACATTCACTTATGTCTTTATAGGCCAATTATATACCCCAACTACTACAAGCTAATGCATTAAAAAGAGAAAGTTCCACCTTTATGTATTGAATTAAAATTTATTGTAAAAGGCAGAGTTTTATATATCCTTTTAAAAAATGAAAATTCAAAAGTCTTAGAGTTAAGCAATGAGGCTTCAACATTATAAAGCTATTTATAATAGTAATTAAAGTAGTGGTAACATTTTACCCTTATAAAAATGTCACAGCATTCAAATCACAACTTGGATCCTCAATGATTCAAGCGTATGATCTTATACAGTAAGGGTTTGGTCAGTTTTAAAGATAAAATTCCTCCAGATATGCTGTCCTCAAGTCCTCTACCATCACCATCCATTAGCTCACACAGTGGGATAGCTGGCTGCTGTGGCAATTCCACAATGGTTGTTCTGGTCTTTGGCCATTTTTACGTAGCCATTCCAGCCCCATTCTGGACCCCAGCTGAAAGAAGAACATGTTTTCCATTTTATACAAAGAATCAAGTACACATTAGTTTCATTAATAATAGCTAATAATTAAAATAGTACTTATCATGTATTAGGTACAATTGTAAGTTTTGTTACATATATTTATATTACTCCTGTGGGTCCTTATCTTTACTTTTTAAGGTAGGAAATTGAGGCAGAACTGAGATTCCAATGTAGCAGCCTGTCTCTACAGGCTATCTTACACCTCACTTTAAAGAGCTTTAGCTGTGAAAATTGATTCTTACAACCCTCAAAGACCTCTAAGTGCTGGAAGTAAAATGCAATGGCAGGACCTCAAATGATAATAGAAAGAAAGGATGCACAGAGGCCACTGGACTCTTGGACAATCTTTCAGATTGAAAGAATCAGTACAGGCAGATGTTTTTTGCCCACTATTCCTTGTTCAAAAATTAGAGACAGAAAAAGGAAGGCAGTTGTCAACTCTACAGGTGAAAAATTCTTTATCTAAAACCCTTGGGCTAGATGTGTTTCTGAATTAAAATTTTCAGAATTTAAAAATGCAATGTTCCAAATATATACTAATAACCCCAACAAACTCGCTACAGAATCTTATAATCACATATTAGTACTTCTCCGTTTACTCTAACAAGGAGAAAGACTTTCTGGGATTTCAAAATTTTTGTACCTGTAATTAAATACTTCCCTTTTCAATTTAAAATATAACATTTGGGGTTTTATACCTGTTCTTGACAATCCAAAATTTATTGTTATTTGAATCTGTTCCTTCAAAGCCATAGCCAACCACCAAAACACCATGATCCAGGTCTTTGCTGCTGCAGTCTGGATCATAATAAATACCTGATTTATAGAACTGGAAGGATGCATGGCCTGCATCAATAGCAACAGCGATGGGACCCACAGTTGCCACTGCCTTCATAAGGGCCTTCTCCCGCTGAGGGATGTCAACGAAGCCAGTGTCATTGGCAGCAGAACACTCAGGCTTATAGTTACAGCTATTTGTGTCCGTTGCAAGATATGGATAAGATTCCTCTGAGTCCAGGCCTCCGTTGTCCTTAATATACTGGAAGGCATTATCCATGAGGCCACCATTGCAACCCTGATTGCCTTGAGGCCGAGAGCAGTCCACCAGGTTCTGCTCACTCAGCGAAACAAGTTTGCCAGTTTTCCGGAACATCTGTCCTTCAAGAGCACCGGTGGCACTAAATGCCCAACAAGAACCACACTGACCCTGAAAATAAAAGAGCCATCAGTTTACAAGACATATACAAAGACCAACAACAATCCATATACCTAAACACTCTTAAGAAGATCTGAATTTGAATACAGTCATACCTGATTCTTCACAGGAGTTACATAGCCTTTCTTAGTCCAATCCACAGATTTGGGGACATCAATAAGGAGAGGTTCACGGAACACTTTCCCCTTCTTATGCTTCTGATTTTGAAAACCATTCATCACCTGCCTAAATTCTTCATTGGTCTTTAAGGAAAAGTAAATAAAATGTAGAAAAAGAAGTTATTTTGCTAAAGTACTGAGGACAGGAGGCACAAGAAATTCAGCAACTCATGCTACACTCACCATGTCACCAAAGGCATTCATTGCCATGGTGAAGCCATGTTTCCCTTGGCTGTATTCCTGATTATGCAGGTCAATTATTTTCTTATTCTTTTCCCACACTGCTCTCCTCCATCCTTCTTCATTCTAGATGTAAACATGTAACTGATGATTTTAATTTCTACTTAAAACCCAACCCACGTTCACCAAATGGATTTTCAGGCAGAGAAAAATTATTGTTAGGAATGGCTTTATACTTCTGGGAGCTGTTCTCCAAACTCCCACACAGGAATATATGCCCATGCTGTGCTCAGAAATATATGCTATTAAGTTACTACCTTGATCAAAGTTGACAAAACTACTCCAGAAACTATTCAGACCAACAGCACAGACCATTCTCTGTGGGGGTCCCTCTGGACATTTTCAGATGTTACCAACCATGCCATATAACCTCTTGTGCGTTGCCTTCCACTGGTGCCAATGTGCATCTAAATTTGGATCAAGTTTTGGAGCAGCTGAGGCTACTCCCAAGCAAAGGACAGTCAGGAAGAATGAAGGATTCATGTTTCAAAAGCCTAAGAAAGAAAAAGAAATTAATAAGTATTTGATGAGGCCAATCCTTAAATAAAAAAAGCTTTCTTCTGAGATGTTACAGCCACTATAGTGGACTGAGAACATTTAAATGATCTTCTCAAATATTTATGAAAGGTCTGTAGAAAAAGATTAAAGATACAGATGGAGAAAAACATAAAATATTACACAAAATTATTATTTTGATTCAGCCATCAAATTGAGAAAACAGGCTGACAAGTGCTATAGGAATTGAAACCGACTTCACTATGAGTGCACTGAAAATTCACCATGGTAAGGATCACTCAGCTGGTAAAGAATCCGCCTGCCAATGAAGGAGACGAAACAGACTCCAGTTCAACCCCTCAGTCGGGAAGATCCTCTGGAGAAGGAAATGGCAACCCACTTAGATATTCCTGCCTGAAAACTTCCATGGACAGAGGAGCTTGGCGGCTACAGTCCATGGGTCGCAGAGTCGGACAAGACTGAATGCACATGTATACAGGTACGCAAGGGTCTCTGCCATCTTATGGGTCGGAGTCTTAAGATAATAATAGCTAGGAAACCGTTGGTTCAGGTTACTGAAGGTACGGAGGTGACGAAAATTTTTTATCAGGACGTCTGATCCAAAGTAGGGACAGACATGAATCCCGAAGAATTAGGTGCTACCTCACACCTTTCTTCTTGACTAATAAACGGCAGAGGGAGAGTTACACCTTCGAATCTTCGCTACCTGAAAACTTTCTGAAAAGCCTCCCCAAGACAAGGTTGGCCAAAGTGCACCCAGCCCTCCACCCGTCCCTCCCCCTGTCCTGTGTAGCCCACACTCCTTCCCTCTCCCTCAAACTGGCAAGCGATCACGAGGGCGACCTGAGCCCCAGTTCTCGAGCCGGATAGGGCCCGACTCTGACTCCTAGGGCTGGGAGAACCCGGCCGGGCTGAGCTCGCACCAGAGCTGCAGGTGGGGCCAGCCCAGGAACGTGCCGCCCCACTCTCAGGCCTCCGCACGCCGGTCGCTTCCAGAGGATGTTTACGGTGGCGCAGCGACCGACTGGTCCCGTAACCCGGCGTTCGGAGGTCAGACTACCGCGATCCACCCGGACTCTGTGCCCGCAGTCGCCCAGAGACTGACCGGCCTAGTCCCCCCTGTGGTCTCAGCTTCGCCCTGGGTTTCCCAAAAATGGCCCTTCCCCCTTCACCACCTCAAGGAGGCCAAAGCTCCAGGCAGTGCCGACCCAACTTCGTTAACTCCCGGCGGGGAGACGCTGTTGTTTCCTGGAGGTCGCGCCTACTCCCTCCCCCGAGTCACTGGATATCGCCTCCTCCAGTCTCTGGCCCGGACCCGCCTCAGCCCTGACCTGCGGCTTCCAAAGCTGCGCAGGCGCACTCCACGGTCGCACGTATCTCTCCGAAGGTCGCCGAGGTCCGAGGTGCTGGCCAGGTCGCGCTTGACTCAGCCTTTAAGGCCTGGGTTTGCGGCCCGCCCGGCCCGGCCCCTCCCGCCTGCCGGCGCGGCGATTGGCTGAGCTGTCAGCGGGCAGGGCCTCCGGGCGTGGGTAGGGTACTCCGGGCGCGTGATGCGACTCTGTTCCAACTTGTCCCAGGGAAGGCCGTCCCAGCCTCCATGGAACCGAATACGAAGAGCTGGGGGTCCGTGGGCAGTGCTGAGGAGGGGTCCGGCGCTTTCCTGGGGACCGGCGCCTTCCTGGGGACCAACATCAACTAATTACCTCCAATCCCTATGCTCGGCTGGGTTCACCAAAAGAAGCTTACAGGGAGCCCCAACTGGATTTTCATTGTAACTCTGTACCTCCTTTAGTCCTAGAGTTTTTGGTGAAAATCTGCGGGAGGACCGAGAACTGTCTTGTCTAGGGGTTCCCGCTTATTCAACAGCAAAGGTGAAACAGGCTGGAGGAACCCTGGGCCCGCAGGCGGGTGTGTTCCCTCCCGGGTTGAGGGTGGTACCAGCTGGATTTGAGAAGAATCAGAGCGGAATGGCAGTTCCTCAAAGCTTGTGACTGGTCACTGCCCAAATCTCAGGAGGCAAAGGGGTGGGCTGGGTGGGTATGCAGAGGCGTGTATGCCCGTTTCCTGTTTTTCCCAGTCAGGGGGTCTTCTCGCCTTTCAAGCCTGTCTTAAAACCAACAGAAATGAGCTATTTACAGAAAAATTGTCTTAATATAAAGAAGAGTCGAGGAAAAAGGGTGGAAACCACTTTTGCTTCCCCACTCTCTGGATTATGGATTATTGTCTTCCTGATAGACTGTCTCACTTCAAGAGAAGTATCCAAAGTACTTCTCTTGAGATGTGAGAAATCCACTTCTAAAATGTGGTTTCATTATGTTTAATGTTAGGATTTAGGTTTACATGGTTAGAAGAAATGTTTTGGATAGAGGAAAAAATGGAGAGCTAGAAATTTGAGGAAATTAATTCAGAAACTTTTTAAAAAGTTACTTAAAAATTATATAAGAAACATATTCGTTATAGAAAGTATATTTTAGAAAATAAACACCCTCAACTGCTCACCCATAACTCTTTTATATGTATATAACAAAAATAGAGTCATGGTGCGTATCGACTTGAAAACTCTTAGTTAAAATTAAATTAGTAACCTTCGTAGAAGCACAAATATTTTTTAAAATCAATTTATTAAAAATGTCTATTTTATGTTCTTTGAAGTAGAATCTCTTTCCTTTCAAACATAGCTAGCAGCCAGGAATTCTCAGGTACTTACAGAAATATATACTGTATGGCAAATGACTAGAAATTTTTGTTTTGTTCTTTTTCTTTTCTTTATTTAGAAGTAGTTGGGGTGATCAATGGGGCTTCCTAGGTGGTTCGGTGGTAAAGAATCCACCTGCCAATGCAGGAGACGCAGGAGATGCGTCTTTCTGGATTAGGAGGCTCCCATGGAGGAGGGCATGGCAATCCACTCCAGTATTCTTGCATGGAGAATCCCTTGGACAGAGGATCCTTACGGGTTACAGTCCATAGGGTGGCAAAGAATTGGACACTTGAGCAACTTAGTATGTACACACGCATGGCCGTCAATGCAAGTATCATTCACACGTGGAAATAAGTGAAGAGCACCTGCATGGGAACAACTTGTTCCCTACATGGAAACAACTTGTTCCCTACATGGAAACAACATGATATAAGGAAGGACACAAATCTTGTCTGGGTGATGGAAAGCTTTATAATGAGAAAAGTGGAAAGTTTCCATAATCCCTGATTGGAGGCTGTTATTATAAGCAAGCTGGAAGAAGAGTACCTAAAAATGATACATTTTACGTTTTGGGAGAATATTTTGATTTCTCTGGTTTGTCCTGGAATTGGAAGCAAAAAGAAGTTGTTAGCCACTCACTAAGTCCTGACAGTTCTGAAGTGGTTGCTGCAAAGTTTTCTTTTGTGGGTCAGAGTCTGTTGTCAGATGAAGTCGAACCATTGTCCATTTGTTTACTCAGTCTATCACAAGAAATCTAAGTTATTCTAACACGTGGGTTTTACAGTTGCCCTTAGGTCACAGCTCCTTAAGATTGCTGAGGGTGGAAAAACCTGCCACTTTGTGACTGTCTGCCTTGAGCAATACAGACTGGAGGCTGTATAACTGGTGCTGCTCCAAAGAATGGCATCTCCTTTGTTTCTTGGAATGTGGTAAAAACTCAATGGAGGGGAAATGGACTCTTTTTTTTCCTTTAAGCAAATATGCTCAAACCTTAAAATTAAGAAATATCTATATTCAGGAAAAGACCATTTAAACAAGACCATGAATTATTGCTCAAACTCATGAAATCTGCTAACAACATTAACTCTTAAATAATGCATTACAAAGTTGTGTTATTACTAATCATTATGTTCCTTTTCTTCTATTCCCACTGCTTTGCAAAGTAACTTAGGTGAGTGTCAATTATTGAAACAGTCACATTTTAGCCAAGTAACCAAGCCTTAGCTCTGCTTTTGATAACATGCAGTTGGTATAACAATTACCTGTGAAGGGATATTTTTGTGTGAATCTGTCTAGATTTCTTTTGCTTACTTGTGACAGGATATAAATTCTTTATCCCATCTCTGGAAGTTTAAACCTAGTGGAATGAACAAATCTTATGTGGTGGTATTCAAGACCCTGAGGCCACTTAACATCTCTCCCCAATATAACAGCCCCCTCTAATTTGTTTAACTTCAATGAGCCATTAATTACTCCTAAAAATCATTATCCAATCCATTTGTAAAGTGTTTTACTAGTTATAATTTAATAGAAAAGTGTTTATAATTTTATAGAAAAGTGTTTGTTTATGATTAGATGTTCAAATGAAGCCGCTTAAGAAATAACCTATTTTTCTAACCTTTGTAACCTTGCTTTTCCTATAGGGTTAAGCAACCAATTTGTTAAGTGAGTAAGTAAATCTACAAGAATTAATCGAATTCTTCCTTTGTGCTTGTTGACCACTCCTGGTGTAGTTTGTTCATTTACTTAGACATGTCTACATGTAAAGACTTCCCCAGTGGCTCAATAGTAAAGAATCTGCCTGCAGTGTAGGAGACATGGGAGATATGGGTTCAATCATTGAGTCAGGAAGATCTCCTGGAGAAGGAAACGGCAATCTAATTCCAGTATCCTTGCCAGGAAAATCCTGGGGATAGTGAAGCCTGGTGGGCGGCAGTCCCTAGGGTTGCAAAGAGTCGGACACAACTGAGTAACAGAGCACACAGCACACACATTCTCATATAACTTTCCTGACAACTTTTCTGAAGCTCAGCCTTTCCATTTAAAAAAAACTAAGATTAACTACAGTAGTCTTGATTCTCCAGCATATGTGCACAGCCATGATCAATATATTTAAATGAGATTATGGCAAAGCATATTGGTGCAGTAGGTAACATAGGAGCTGACCTTGGGGGATTTCCCCCTACTCCTAAGATTATAAGGAGCTTCCCTTGTGGCTCAACTGGTAAAGAATCCACCTACAAGGCGGGAGACCTGGGGTTGATCCCTGTATTGGGAAGATCCCGTGGAGAAGGGAATGGCTACCGGCTCCAGTATTCTGGCCTAGAGAATTCCATGGACTGTATACTCCATGGGGTCTCAAAGAGTCGGACATGACTGAACAACTTTTTTAAACTTTTATTTAAGATTATAAGAGGATCTCTTCCTAAAATCTGAAAGTCTCTTAATGAAACAAGGTATGTTAGTTTCTTATGGTTGCTATAGCAAATTCCCACAAGCGTGGTGGCTTAAAATAACAAGAATTTACTCTCTCACAGTTGTGGAGATCAGAAGTCCAAAATCAGCATCACTTTGGGTTGAAAACCAGGGGCTGATAGGAGAGAACCTGCTCCTCCCTTCTTCCAGCTTCTGAGACCGCCAGGCACGCCTTGATTTGCGGCTGCATCACTCTCATCTTGGCCTTGGTGGTCACATTGCCTTCTCCCCTTCAGTCTGTGTCAAATATCCCCCCACCTCCCTCTTATAAGAATATTTAGGCCCACCCAGATAATTCAGGGTAATCTTTCCATCTCAAATACTTAATCACATTTGCAAAATATTTATAATATAAGGTAACATTTACAGGTTCCAAGAATTAAGACCTTATATGTTTGGGGTCCTAACATGGTATAAGTAAAGAATGGTATAAATGAGAAGCAGTTTTTTTGATTGTGTTTCAAACTTGTGTTTAACATATCTTTAGGCTGGCTTCACTAGTTCAGCTAGGCCCTGTATGGCACCTTCCCACTCTGTAACTTCTTTGCTCATGTACCCTATTGCAGACAACAGTTTTTGCCTTGACTCTCCTGTTAGTGCAAAGTTTGACACAGTTTTCAAGACTCCCACACAGCAGTTTTTATTACCTCCCTTTCCCTCCTCCTTTCACAACCACCTATTCCATGGTCTCTGCATATAAAAGCATTGCTCACCCATTCCTACCCTGAGATACTTCTGGTTTAGACCTTGAGCATCTTTCTATTGCAATCATCCCTATTAATATAGTCTTTCCCTGGACATACTGCATCATTATGTGAAGAGGTCAAGACAGAGAAGACCTTTGTGTTGTTAATAGAGCTTGCATATATTCATGGGGTGGGGGTATGGGGGAACAGTGTTCCATAGGAAAGATAACTCCATCTCTGAATACCTGGTACTTTTGGAAATTAAAGCATGATCAGAAAAAATTCCCCTGATGATAATGATGATTCTAATAGCTAAATAACACAGTTGCCAGGCACTGTTCTAAGAATATTTTTTGTGGGCCTTCATTTAAGTTCCCAACAACACTATGACAGTAATTCTCAAACTTGAAGTGCATCAGAATCACCCGGGGAGCAGGGCAGCGGCTTGTAA